AAAAAAAACACAAAAGAGCTGTGTTCTGACTCACCATCTCAAGGAGCTTCTGCAGACTGTTCACCCCATGGTGCTCAGAGACCTCTGTGAGGGAGTCTCTGGCTCTCCTTAGTCCATTTAGATAAGTATTCTTTTTTCATATTCAAAAAACTTTTATTGCCGGCCATGGTGGCGTCGCCTTTAATCCCAGTACTCGGGAGGCAGAGGCAGGTGGATCTCTGTGAGTTCGACGCCAGCCTGGTCTACATAGTGAGTTCCAGGACATCTGGGGCTACAGGGAGACCCTGTCTCAAAATGCCAAAAAAAAGAAAAGAAAAAAAAACTTTTATTTATTTTTATTTTTATGACTGTTTTGCCTACATGTATGTAAGTGAACCCATGTCATATAATGCCCACGGAGGCCAGAAGAGGGCATTGGATCTCCTGGAACTGGAATTAGGGACAGTTGTTAGCTTCCGTGTGGGTGCTGGGCACCTCATCCAGGTCCTCTGCAAGAGCAGCCAGTGCTCTTAACCACTGAACCATCTCTCTAGCCTCTAAATGGGTATTCTTTGGTGAGATAATTCATCTGTCCATAGGAGTTTTGTTTTGTTTTTTTGAAACAGGTCTCACTGTGTAACTCTGACTAGCCTGGAACTTGCTGTATAGACCAGGCTGGCTGTGAACTCACAGAAATCCACCAGCCTCTGCCTCCCAGGTGCCAGGATTAATGGCATTCACCACTACATCCAGCTGTTTGTTTTTAACTCTGAGAAACTGTATTTCTTTTCTGTGTGTGTGTGCACATGCACCTGCCATGGCGTATGTGTGGAAGTCACAGGATACTTGTGGAGTCAGTTCTCACCTTCTTAGCCCTGTCCTCTCCCACCTTGGGCTACGGCTCCTGGCCCCTGGCCCCAGGAGAGTGCCACCAGGCAGTTGTGAAAGGCCCCAACCTTAGGTCTCTTGTCTAAGTAGGACCTTGTGGATGTTCAGGATTTGTCTTGTGACAGGTCCCCAGGGGAGAACTGCCAGCACCAGTTGGCGAGAGATGTGGGGCTGCCCCTCTGCCAGGCCCTTGTGGAGGCTCAGAACGGGAATCCTGACCGTGTCCTAGAGCTGCTCTTGCCTGTCCGATACCGAATCGTCCAGATTGGGGGCAGCAATGCCCAGGTGAGCCCCCAAGTCTAGGGAACCAGGAGCTGGAGTGCATAGCCGGGCATGTCTCCCATGTTTTAGGTGCCCATCTGTGGGTGTCGTCTTATATTATACTCTCTCCTTGGATATGCCATGAAGGTGGTGTCCATCCAGTCTGGTGGCCCCTTGGGTTGGGGGCCCATCTCTTATCCGCATTGCAAGTGTGCTGGATAGCTTTAGTGTCAACTTGCCACACCTGAGTTAAGGGAGCCTCAATTGAAGAACTGCCTTCATTGGACTGTCCTGTGGCCATATCCATGGGGAACCTTCTTAATGAGTGATATTGGAGGGCCCAGTACATTGTGGGTGGTGCCACCCCTGGGCAGGTGGGCCTATGTTGCAGAAGAAAGCAGGCTGAGTAGAGGCCAGGGAAGCAAGTCAGTAAGCAGCGTTCCTCCATGGCCTGTGGCCTCCAGGTTCCTGTCCTGAGTTCCTACCTCGGGCTCCCCGATGAACTGGGACCCGAGAGATGTAAGATAAAATAAACCCTTTCCTCCCCAAGTTGGTATTGGCCAGAGTGTTTTGTCACAGCAATGGAGAAACAAACTAGAACAGCCCCACTTCTCTCAGTATCTCTGACCTGAGGTGGGAACATACCTGTAGAGTGTGTGCTTAGCGTATGTGAGACCTTGGCTTCTGTCCCCACACACTCGCACACACGCATACATGCACACACACATGTACCTGTGCATGTGCACACATACACATTCAAGACCCTTAACTAAACCCACAAAAACCTTTCTGCCAGGTGAGGTAATATTGAAGGGTAAGACCCAGACATTTTGGGGGCTGTTTTTCTGCCTTCAACACCCTCACAGTCTGGTTCATGTAGTCCTAGGCTCACTCTTATAAGTTTCTCCATTTAATACATCCTGCTACCTTCCATGATTCAGAACCATGGTCTCAGCAGGCCCATAAACTGAACACCTGGGAAAGCTGTTGAAAGCACAGGTCCTGGGCTCTGGGCTGGGTCAGCAAGACTGTGGGTAGAGGCCCAGGGAAGGTACCAGGGGATGCAAGCAAAGCTGCGTCTGGAAGGTTCCAGGAAAACGTCGTAGAGGAGCTGAAATATGAACGAAGGAAGAAGCAGGAACTGGTGTCACATGGAGGAGGGAGCAGCCAGTCCAAGGAACACAGAAGCCTGTGGGGAGGAATGCCAGCAAGCAGGCTCTGCGTGGTCACATGGGGAGTGAGGGCAGGGAGCCAAAGGGACGCCCAAGGGTGGGATGGGCAGGGTGAGGAGCTCGGCTTCCCTGTGGGAGTCTGCTCAGAGTCTTGCCCTCAGCACAGAGGCCAAGGGAGCCAGGTCTCATCCCTGCCACCCCATGGTGACTGAGGATGGAGAGCTGAGACCACTCACGTGACTTGGATCTGGGTGGCAGGAAGGAGCCTGGGGAAAGCTGAGCTCCCCTGCCCTAAGGCCCCGCTAACCCCTCCAGTCTCGGGGCAGTGTGCTAGGCTGCCTGGAACTCTTTGAGCGGCTTCATTAGCTGCCTCAAGGCAGAGAGAGGCTGAGGAAGGGCAGGTGCCCAGAATCCCAGTGAGAGGCAAGGCGGGGTGCCGAGTGGCTGGCAGGCTGGAAAAGGCCTCTCGTTTCCAGTGTTCAAGGACCGGGAAGCATGTAGAGGAGGTGGGGGAATGGGGACTCCGGCAGAGGTGGGAACAGTCCAGAGCCAGGACATTCAGACCTTGGGAGAAGCGCCATGTGATCCATGACACTGGCTTTCACTGAACATCTATTCTGGATCAGGTGCTGCACTTGTGACCGGGTGCGAGAATTTAACATGTTTGTGGGTCAGTCAGAGGGGCTAGAAATGGACTAATAACCTTTGACAGTTTATCAAATTTGCTTTGACCTGGTAGATTTACTGCTTTTCCAATTAAATAAGGTTAATATACCCTGCCCAACTCACTCTGGGCCTCTCAAACTGAGACAGAATTGGGTGGGCTTCAGAGTGATATGCAGGAGATCTGAGCATGGGTCACACTCTGACCAAGCCTTGGCTTCCTGTCCCAGGGGTATCTGTGGGCCAGCGGTGGAAGGCCATCTTACCCGTGACCCAGAAGCACAGCCGAGACCATACCCTTCTGTTCAATGATGCTCACTTCCTGATGGCCTCCCTGGGTGCACAGGACCTTCAGACCACACAGGAGCTGCTGACCACCCTGCAGGAGGCCAGCGAGTATGTGACGCCCTGAGACTCTGGCCCTGGGTGAGCTGGCACCATGGCACTGACAGGCTGATGGAGTGCAGGAGCTAAGCCATGGCCTGCTAGGGGCTGCCCTGCACACTTGGGATACGGCATGTGGGATGTGCAGCTTCTAGTTGGGTAACCCCCAGGTGGATGCCAAAACAGGCACAAGTCTCATAGGTGTGTGAGCTTCAGGGGTCTAGAGGTTGATTTTTATGAGACATAGTTATCTCTCTATACCCAGGGTGGGTATGAGTCTCTTCCTGGGATACAGCGAGGCCCAGGGCTTAGAGACTCCTGGTGCATACAGGTCCTGAAATCCTAGACAAGGCCCTTCTATGCTCTGAGCCTCAGTTTCCTCTTTGGTTAGAGATGGTGCCTGGTAAGGGTAACAGGACGGCCTGGGAAGACAGGCTGCCACAGGTGCATCCTCTGGTGGATGTGGTCTCCCCAGTCGGCTACTGTCAGCAGTCTTGACCACTCTGTGAGACCCGTGTTGCTATACTACTACCTTACAGATGGGTAAACTGAGGCCAAAAGTTGGGCAAGGTGACTGGGCCTGGTCTTGTCCAACTCACATCTGAGTTCTTAGCCCTGTCCTCTCCCACCTTGGGCTGCAGCTCCTGGCCCCTGGCCCCAGGAGAGTGCCACCAGGCAGTTGTGAAAGGCCCCAACCTTAGGTCTCTTGTCTAAGTAGGACCTTGTGGATGTTCAGGATTTGTCTTGTGACAGGTCCCCAGGGGAGAACTGCCAGCACCAGTTGGCGAGAGATGTGGGGCTGCCCCTCTGCCAGGCCCTTGTGGAGGCTCAGAACGGGAATCCTGACCGTGTCCTAGAGCTGCTCTTGCCTGTCCGATACCGAATCGTCCAGATTGGGGGCAGCAATGCCCAGGTGAGCCCCCAAGTCTAGGGAACCAGGAGCTGGAGTGCATAGCCGGGCATGTCTCCCATGTTTTAGGTGCCCATCTGTGGGTGTCGTCTTATATTATACTCTCTCCTTGGATATGCCATGAAGGTGGTGTCCATCCAGTCTGGTGGCCCCTTGGGTTGGGGGCCCATCTCTTATCCGCATTGCAAGTGTGCTGGATAGCTTTAGTGTCAACTTGCCACACCTGAGTTAAGGGAGCCTCAATTGAAGAACTGCCTTCATTGGACTGTCCTGTGGCCATATCCATGGGGAACCTTCTTAATGAGTGATATTGGAGGGCCCAGTACATTGTGGGTGGTGCCACCCCTGGGCAGGTGGGCCTATGTTGCAGAAGAAAGCAGGCTGAGTAGAGGCCAGGGAAGCAAGTCAGTAAGCAGCGTTCCTCCATGGCCTGTGGCCTCCAGGTTCCTGTCCTGAGTTCCTACCTCGGGCTCCCGGATAACTGTGCCCCAGAATATGTAAGCTAAATAAACCCTTTCCTCCCCAAGTTGGTAGTGGTCAGAGTGTTTTGTCATAGCAATTAAGAAACAAATTAGGACAGGAAGCAACTAATTTGTCCAACTGACATCACAGAGAGACGTCTTCAACCAGATGCTGATTCACGCGGCCCTCAACTCTACCTCCAGTGTCCATAAGAACGTGGCCCGGTGAGTACCTTGTCCTCCCCACAGCTGAGTGTAGGGGTCCCCTGTACAAGGTCGTCCTGTGTCCTCACCTGCCTTGGCACCCATAGGTCTGCTCTTGATTTTGGGAAAACTGGAGGCAACCTAGAGATTTGGTTCTCTTTTGTTAAGAGGCCTTCCAACAAGTCCCATTGGAGACCAGGGCTTCATCGTGGGAAGTTAGACTGAGGGGGTATCCACTCCAGCAGGGTCTTTACTGCAAACTCTGTCTACACTTGCTCTCTTCAAATTCAGGTTTTGCCCCACACCTAATTTTCCACTTGCTATTTCCAGACCAGCCTTATGGGAACCGTCACCCAGCTCCCCGCTCCCTGCTCTGTGTCTCCTGCCCCACCTCTGGGCCCCAGCAGAGGGCTATTACAGCATCATTAGCTATGAGGTCCTGAGTCACAGCTTCTCCCAAGGCAGCAAGGCCACAGTGATCGCCCCACACTGGAGGCCTCATCTCTCAGGCAGAATCAAAGTGCTTTCAGCTGGCTGCCCCCTTTCTGCTCCTGCCATCAGTGCCCTCACATCCTTCTAGAAGGTTCTATGACACAAGCTTTTTGTGTTTCCACAGGAGCCTTCTGATAGAGCGCGACGCCTTGAAACCCAACTCACCCCTGACTGAGCGGCTCATCCGCAAGGCGGCCGCCATCCATCTCATGTAATGACCATGCCAGGTCCTAGGCCTGCAGAAGCTCGGCAGTGACCTCCTGTGTTAGGCTGGCCACCCGGCCATGCCCATCATGGCAAAGAGCTGGGCCTGCTGGTCAAGGATATGGTTCATCCTGGAGCAGAGTCCTCCAAATCAGTAGTTTGCTAGAAATAAGGTTAATTTTGAGTGTGATTCAATTCCCAGGGTCAACATGCATTTTTAAGTCTCCTAGAACCAAACAGGTGCTGCTGTTTGTGGGTACCTTGCAAATCATATTTTCCATCAGGCACACATGCCACTTCCTGGCTGTTGAAGGGCTGACAGGCAGGGCAGAGGTGTGGCCAGTTCAGCAGGTAGTCTAGAGGTGCCTTCCGCACTGGATGCTCCTCCCCACTTGGCACCAGCAAATCCTCTTCATTTAATTTTCACTATATTCTAGACAGGTCCTGAGTCTCATTTTTCAGGGGAGAGTACCAGTGAGCTCTGGGGTCCCGGCCAGCAGAGTCCTGTCCTTCTGGGGAGAGGGGACCCTACCTCACTGGTTGTCAGTCCCAGACTACTGCACCTGCCACCCTCTTCAATGATGAGAGGAGGGACCACTTCTGACTCTCAAGGGGATTTGCAGGAGCCAAGTAGAGCTTTTTTTTAAACTGTAAATGGGAATAGGAGTGAGGTCTGGGGTATGGGTCTTCCTTGGCCAACTCTGGTCTGAGCCTGTCTCCTGTTTCCTTGACGGGACATCCCTCCTGTGGTCTTTTAGCTTCCAGCCTCTGGAGGGGAAGTTCAAGTGCAAAGATGTCTCTCAGGTGCCTTCCTACTTGTTATGTAGGGACTGGCCGGTATCTCCTAGAGAATGTTAAGATCGCCAAACCCTGTAGTTTGCTTGGGCCTGGGAAGATTCTGTTGGGATAAGTCAGGAGTGCCTGGAATGTAGAGCATGGCTGCCAGGTTGGATACCTCCTAGTGAGGATGGCAGGAACTGGCCTGCTCCATTCTAGATACACTGTGTCCTACCCAACAACCCAAAACCCAAAACCATTAGGCCTCTAATCCTTTAATCCTAACCGGGTCTCTCGTAGATCATGTGACTGGAGGATAGGACAAAGGCCATGTAGCCTTAGAGGCCCCTTCCCTCCCCCTACCTGCCAGCCTGCCAGCAAACCAACCCCACCTCTTTGCCCGTGAAACTTTCCTATATAAACCTCTGCTTCCGCCATAATAAACGAGCTGTCCACTGACCCAGTCTCATGGGGGTATTTTCTTCCATCATACTCGTCTCTGCCCGAGGCCTCCCTCCCCCCACCAGTCTCTCTTCTCACCCTGACTTTCTGCTATGGGGACCAGTGCACAACGGTCTCCTGGTAGCAGTGGAGTTCAGGCTGAGGGGAGACTGACAGCTGGTGCCCAACATGGAGCTACAGAGGGGCTCTCTGGGACATGAGGAGGAGGGTGAGTACTCCCTAACAGAGGGACATCGGCTGCTAAGCCTTGGCCATCCCGCTCTGAGGATCGGTGTTCTCTCCCTTCCCCTTTTTTTGCGAAGTACCATTCAAGACGAAAGAGCAATTGAAGCTTTCTGATCAGGGACATTCCTGATGTTAGCTAGTCTTCTGAACGGACCCCCGGACCCCAATGCTCACCCGGATGTCGGCAAAGACCGCCTATCTATACGTCTCTCTACTACAAAACCCGGTAACACAATGACCAGGTAAAAGCTTCTAGAGTGGTCGCCAGTTTTCTCAAATTTGTGGTCAGGCTTGCGCTCTGGACTAGTTAGGAATCCCCCGTGACCTCCGGGTCTTGGAAGAGGTTCTCTAGGACTCGGCGTTTCACCCCGCTTTCCTTTTCTATCATGGGCAACACCCCTAAAAACTTGACGGAGCCCCAAAATTCTAATAACTTATTTATTTGATGGTCAAACTTTGCTCTTAAGAGAGCAGGTGAACGTCCTTAGCCATTTTGCTATCTGCCTTGGGGCATTCGGGCTTAGGTTAAAAGTGGCTGGATGGCCTCAGTGGAGCATTTAAAGAATTTAAAGTGGCTTTTCCCATGGACAAATCAAAAAAAGATTTTAAAAGCCATTTTTTTTCCTAAACTTTTTCTCAGGCAGAGGGGCTCAGAATTTTGATCTTAGGCTCTATTGGGCACCAAACAAGCTGTGCTCAGCCCATGTGGTCCTGAGGTGGCTGCTTTTCTAACTAGATCTAACCATTTTAAATTTCAATGTACATGGAAAGTCACACCCAGGCAAGACATATGCTTTCAGAGCAACAACCCAGTGATTCGTGTGCTGGACATGCGCCCTGTTCCTTCTGCTGCCTTCACAGGTTACTTTTCCAGCATAGTTTGTATCTAGAAATGAAGAGATCCAGAGAACTTTGCTTGGCATTACAGCTACTACGGTTGGTGAGAGACAAATTCCTTTTTTTTTTTGCTTTTCTATTTGGGGCCTATATATACTTATATCTGAAGGAACTTTCTCCTGTTATATCAAGTCTAACTTAACTGGGGTGCTTTGTAAAAGTAAAAATGATTGCTGTCTACATTTAATCTGTGAGACATGTGAATCCCACAGGGCTTGTATCCTGGCAGGGGATGGGATTGTCTTATCATGGGACTGTGCTCACTAACATGACCATGTGGCCTGGTCACCATCATGGGTGCTGACCTCACAAAGAGGGAGGCAAACGTGTGACCTGGTCTCCGTCTTGGTTGATGACATCATCAATATGGGGACAGTCACATGGCTTGGTTGCCATCTTGGGACAGTGACTTTTCAAAATGACAGTGACCTGTGAGACCTTGCTGCCATCTTAATCCAACAACATGGGATGATTCAAAATGGCGATACCCAAAAAACTTACTAGCCAATTTATTTTCGTTTTGGATTCTTGATGGGATCATATAAAAACAATACATTTTTATTTCAGACTAAGGAAGTAATGCCAGGTCTCCACAATGGGATTTTAGATTTTTCCCTATTTCTAAAGGGGGTTACTTTGAGTTTTAACTTCTTATATATACTGGTATATTTACTGGTTTTAAAAGATGACTTTTAAGTTTTTACATTGTTTGACATTTATTTTTTTAATGCTTTTTATTTATTATTATTTGGATGTACATAATCCTATGGTACACTGTGATAATTATATATATATATATGGTATATAATGAGCATATCAAAGTAGTTAGCATTTCCATATCCTTAAACATTTTCAAAAATTTAAATTAACACGTTATAATTGCATACTTTTTGCTTTTGTTTAACTTTTGTTGTAAACTTATACACAGCTATAGAAACCGTCCTACATATAGATAGCTTATGAGTTCCTGTAAGAGTTTTTATAGTTCAGGTCAGGAAGTAGAACTCTACAAGCCAACCCAAGAATCCCTCCATGTGCCCTGCTCTCGTCTCAACTCACTCCTTTAAAAGTGCTCTCCTGCCTTCAGGTTTTGGTTTATTTATTTATATATACACACTTATTTATGAGGAAGGAGCTCAGTCTGTATCTCAAGTTGACTAGGAATTCACTGTGTATCTTAGGCTTGCCTCAAACTCATGGCAAGATCAAGAGAACAAATGATACCAAATGTTGGAGAGGATGTGGGGAAAGGGGAACACTCATCCACTCCTGGTGGGGCTGCAAACTTGTTCAACCCTTATAGAAAGCATTGTGGAGAACTCTTAAAAACCTACAAATTAACCTACCATTTGACCCAGTTATACCACTCCTTGGCATATA